AGGGTCCTGGGATCGAGTCCCACATTGGGCTCCCTGCTCAGCGGGAAGCCTGCTTCTCCCTCTGCCTCTCTCTCTCTCTCTGTCTCTTATGAATAAATAAATAAAATCTTAAAAAAAAAAAAAAAAAAGAGCCTAGAGGAGAACACAGGCAGCAGCATCTTTGACCTCGGCCGCAGCACCTTCTTGCTAGGCTCGTCTTCAAAGGCAAGGGAAACAAAAGCAAAAAATGAATTATTGGGACTTCATCAAGATAAAACACTTCTGCACAGGGAAAGAAACAGTCAAGAAAACTAAGAGGTAACCTACGGAATGGGAGAAGATATTGGCAAATGCCATATCTGAGAAAGAGTTAGTTATAAAGAACATACCAACCTCAACGCCCAAAACACAAATAATCCAGTTAAGAAATGGGCAGAAGGCGTGAATAGCCACTTTTCCAAAGGAGACATCCAGATAGCTAGCAGACACGAGAAAAGATGCTCAACATCACTCATCATCAGGGAAATGCAAATCAAAACCACAATGAGATACCACCTCACACCTATCAGAATGGCTAAAATGAACAACACAAGAAACAGCCGGTCTTGGGGAGCATGCAAAGAAAGGGGAACTCTCTTACACTGTTGGTGGGAATGCAAACTGGTGCAGCCACTCTGGAAAACAGTATGGAGGTTCCTCAAGAAGTTAAAATTGGAACTACCTTACCATCCAGCAATTGCACTACTTAGTGGGTATTTGCCCAAGGGAACAGGACGCTTTTAACAACACATAGGAACAGACTTTCTGATTTAGAAAATAAAAGGGAGAAGTAACGACATAGACAATGGAGAATCTATGGATAAAAATATCAATTCTTATGGGAGAGTGGCTTATAATAAGAAATTAGACTATATATTTTCACTTTTGGATGGAGATCCACAAAATTAAAACAAATGCCTTCAGATTTTGAATTTTTAATGGCAGGAAATATGATTAGCAATGAATTATATATAATTAACAAAAAGCAGTCACTGTCTTGGCTCTTTAATATTCTGAAGGTTTAAGTTTTGATATATTTCATCTTAAATGGTTTTAAACAGCAGGCAGGTATTAGTATATTAAAAATCACCATTATGTTTTGATCCTCTAAAACTGATTCATGATATTTTCTTAGTACATTATTATAAAACTATGCTAGTGGCCTGGATTTATTATTACTTTTTAACCACGCTAGTCACATTGGAGTCCTGTAAAGTTGTTTAAAGAGCTAATATTTAAAAATATTTAAGGTCGCCACTATATTATGAGAAAATGTCAAACATACAAAATACTCTCTTTTGAAAACAAGCTAAGAAGTATATTTTAAATACGGATAATTTGTCTTCCTTTTTAAAGCCAAGAAACTAAAATTATAACAAATTCTGCTTTTGACATACTTGAAATATCGTATCTTAAAATAACATCTTTTAATACACCTACTACTTACTTTTTCAATATATTTAAAATACTTCTGGGGCGGGTGCCTGGGTGGCTCAGTCGGTTAAGCGTCTGCCTTCAGCTCAGGTCATGATCCCAGGGTCCTGGGATCGAGTCCCACATCCGGCTCCCTGCTCAGTGGAAGTCTGCTTCTCCCTCTGCCTGCCGCTCCCCCTGCTTGTGCTCTCTCTGTGTCAAATAAATAAATATTTAAAAAATAATAATAAAATAAAATAAAATAAAATAAAATACTTCTTGGACACCTGGGTGGCTCAGTCGGTGAAGCGTCTGCCTCCAGATCAGGTCACGATCCTGGAGCCCTGGGATGGAGCACCGCATCAGGCTCCCTGCTCAGCGGAGAGCTGGCTTCACTCTCTCCCTCTGTCCCTTCCCCTACTTGTGCTCTTTCTCCCTCCCTCTCTCTGTCAAATACATAAATAAAATCTTTTAAAAATATATATTTTTAAATACTTTCACATTATACGAAAAATTAACCATTAAAAATTAATTTAGGGAGGTATGTAGTTTTATACTTTTACCCTTAGGACTGTGGATTCCATACATCTCTGCCAGGTACATCCCATGTCCCTCAGCTCATTGGACTGGAAGGTCCTGAGATCTTGTATATTCCTTTCATCATCATCATCACCATCATCATCCACGTGTTTCTCTCTCTCTGAACCTGTGCAGGGGTTTCTCCCCCCAGAACAACCCCGAATCTATAAGAAAACCCCAGAGCATTATTTTGACCCACCACGTCCCTTAAAGAACAGATCCTGTTGTAAAAATCCCTAGTGTTAAGGTATTACCTGAGAAAGCAGAAAATAACCCACATGGGACTAGTCCAAAAAAGGCAGGCTCTGAAGAAAATCCTCTGGGACAGACAAGTGGCGGCCCAGCCCCCTCCTTAGCCACTGTGGCGCGCACAGGGGAGTGTTCGCCTCACACTGATGCCACCCCACGCAGTCCTGAAGCCATGGCGAGCCTCCTGGGAAGTTCCTGAGGAAATTACCTCACTGAGGATGAGCTGAACGCCCTCTGAAGGAACACTCACGTGGGCCATCCTCCTCTTAAAGGGTGGAGTCCGTCGCCCCCTGCTGGCTGTCGGGTGTAGCGCAGGATGCTGAGAACTCACTGTTTGGGGTGGCCATGCATGGCCTTTCTGCCTTCCAGGGCCGCGCAGGCTGCTCTGGGATCGCAGGAAATGGATGGGCACCTCCTCCTGGCCAGGTTGCTGAATCACTCAAAAATCTCAATGCCCCAGCTTTCTTGCTGACTGCATCTGTGATGCTCTGCTCTAGCCATGCCTACTCTCTTGCCTGGAACATGCCTCACTCCCTGAAGCCCCACGGCCTGGAGAACAAGGGAGTCATCAGGCTTTTGGGTCATCTCAAAAGAATCGCCTCCGTGCCATGACATAAGGACAGTAACCATTTCAGCTCCCGAAAAAGAGCCACCCATTTCCGCCATCACATTCTCCACTGGATCTTTAACCTATTACATACAGAGAACAGCAGCTCTCCTTGGGGTAAGGTCCTCCTTGAGGCACTAATATGTGGACTTGATCACAATCACAAATAACTGAAGCAGAAGATGAAAGTGGAAAATCTTTGGCTTGTCCTCATTTTGAAATTATGGTCTAGAGGCACTTCCAAAAACTCAAGTGGTGGGGTGCCTGGGTGGCTCAGTCGTTAAGCGTCGGCCTTCGGCTCAGGTCATGGTCCCAGGGTCCTGGGATCGGGCCCCACATCAGGCTCCCTGCTCAGCAGGAGGCCTGCTTCTCCCTCTCCCACTCCCCCTGCTTGTGTTCCCTCTCTTGCTGTGTCTCTCTCTGTCAAATAAATAAATAAAAATCTTAAAAAAAAAATCAAGTGGTTATCTATACAGCTGGAATGCCTTCGAGCTTTGTCAAGGAAGGAATCAAACTGTGTTGGAATTTGTTTTTTTTTGTTTTTTTTTTTTTTAGTTTTCGGTTGTTGTTGTCCTCACTTACCAAGTCCTCTGAAAAACTAATGAATAGGGTGGAACATTAGATCCCCTCTATTCAGTTATGTTTTTGTGCACAAGAACATAATCTGCACTCATACTATCTATAAAATATCTGAAAATGTAAGAATGGTAATACATTTAAAATATGATACAGCTTAAATACACAAAAAATGATTTAGAGAGAACGTGATCTATGTTTCTTAAATAAAGGAACTTACGAATTACATTTTACATTTATCCTCTCAGAATTCTTTGCGTTAAAACTTTAACTCCTAATCATGGTGTGGGAACTTCAGGTGAGCTCAGGACAGTGTCTGTTTTTCACCCAGATTGTACGCAATTCAGTATTTAAATTGATAGTTCTGTGCCCATGCATGTCCATAGATCATCAGTTTGATGGCATTTCCCGTGATGGAACTCCCTGCACCCTCCCCTCTCATGCCTCATCTTGCCAAGAGGAAAGGCTCACCCCTGCCCCCCTTGACGTCACTAAAGCATTAAACTATGGCAAAGAATGCAGCCATTCATGGGCTTGGGCCTAGCTACCAATGTAGGACAGATCAGTAACAACACAGCTGTGTAGACACACTTGTGACTGTCTGAGACCATGGACTTCAGAACCACATGGACCCAGAAGTCATCTTGGCCAGTAAGGGAGAATGTGGGAATTCTCACTGGCCATGTATATGGACCTGATTTTGGCAACTAAGAAACCATCCCACATCCAGCAAGTCCCAGCCAAGAAGGAGTGGCAACGATGGAGGGAATTTCTGCCTTAAAGAGAATTGTATAAGAACTGCGGGGATGCTGAAAATCTTATTCATAGATAGCATAAATGTTTATGGAAGGAGGCCCAGCTGTAGCTTCCAAACACGCATCACAATCTTGATCCCAGATATAAGACAAGTAGGAAAAGGAATTCAGGAGTCATGGACAAATATCCCAGGAGGATTCAGATATAGGTAGAGGGAGGAGGGAGCCCCTAGAGGGAGACTGAGGATGGGAAGTCCTGCCTGCCCTTAGGCTAGTCACAAATTATCATCTGCTGGCCTTGTCCTTTTCATGTGCGCCCTTTGGTCTCTTTTCATGGTTTTCCCTACTTAGTGCTGATGCCATTCCAGATGTTGAGCTAGAGAACTGCAAGTTTTTAATAACTTGTCAAAAGAAACCTCAACAAGAGAAGCCACAAATGTTTCCTCTTCCTCCGAAGTGTGCAAAAGTAGGCGCTGTCCTGGGGCGGGAAGCGGTCCTGGCAAATTGTTAGACTCCCAATTTCAGGGATTGTTGCTATGTCTGTAAGAGTAGCCTCAACCTCTAGACCCTGGGAGGTTGGAGGACTGTCACTGCTCCTCACAGGTGAGCAACACTGAAGTGAACATATCCTCTGAGGAAGGGGAATGGGGGGCCGCTTCACTAGTAAGAGTGTGGCATGGACTTTCTCCTCTCTCACACATACAGTAAGCTGCAAGATTTCTTTATTCAAGAAGGAACGTGAGCATCTGTTCATCATTTAAATTAGCGCAGGAAGTAAAAGAATCAAATAAGAACTCTCAGGCTTTCAAAGCAACAGGACTTTAATATAATAATATTTAAATCTGGCATTTACTAAGTATCACCCCTCCAAATGACTATGTATGGGCCTTGGAGAAGAGAAGGCAGGGGGATGGGTGGGATCATTGTCTCTTCCCCTGGCCTTCAGGGGACCACAGGAAGAGCCTCCCAATGGTCTCCTTCCCCTCAGAGCAGGGGTCCTGGAACCCCCAAGCATCCCAGCTGTGTCCCCACAGCTGAGGGAGAGGTGGCACTGCCAGCCCGGACACTCACTCGCCCCTGAGCTTGACGATGGCTGGCTCTTCTGGGCCTTCCCAGTTCTGCTGGCTGACTAGGATCGGGGCTCCAGCTGGCAGGACAGGATGTAGCTACAGGACAGAGTGACACCTGTGAGCCGGTCAGGAGCCACAGCTAAGGTGTCCTTCCCAGTGTCTGACCAGCAGCTAAAGTCCAGGTACACCAGGGGTCACCGTGCAGCAAGGTCTCGGGCTGTCCAGGGAGCCATGCACACAGGTTCTCTGGACTGGCCACCAGGGAGAGTCTACCACTGCCCGCCCCCATCTCCTGCCTGGCCTCATCTCACCTCTCATTCTCACTGAGCCTCTCCAGGTCTCGGAACCAGGCCCCAAATTGCTCGTTGGGGTTGAGGTTGTAATTATCTGCGGCCACCTGGAGCAGCAGGATCTCCCTCATTATTTCATATTCCTGGGGCCAGAGAGGAGGACAGGATACAGACAAGGCCTCATGGGGGATGAGGACTGGGACAGGGGATAGGTCCGGGGTCTTTGCATACACGGGAACCCTCCTTCCCTCAGTTCCATCTAGGCCATAGCTGTTCTCAAGGGTAGGTGGAAGTAGCCCGTCCTCAAGGAAGTTTGCCTTGATTCTCCCCCCACCCCCAAATGTCAGTTGGCTGGGTCTTCTACTTCTCTGCTATCAAACTTGCCCAACAAACATAAAACATGGGATGGAGCCAGGGAGCAATCTGTTGGGGGGTGGGGGTCTCTGATTTCCACTCCCCAACCTCTCCCGCAGGAAGTGCCACAGCTGCTCACCGCATTCCTTTTCCTGAGATTGATCTCTCCCCCCTGGAAGGCAGACAATCAAAATCCATCGGAAAGAGCCCAATAGCCATTACTAGTCCCTCTATGCCCACTCCTTCTCATGTTGCACTACTGCCGGGTCCCACAAGGGGGCCAGGCACATACAGAAAACGGGACAAGGCTCTAGCCAGGTTCTGGGCCCAAAGAAGGGGGCACATGGGGACAGAGGCTCAGGAAGCTTATAGCCCGGCCCTTTCTGATGATAATACAAGGAGGCTGAGGCCTCAGGCAGGAAGGGACTGCTCACTTATATGCTTCCTGACGTGGAGGGGCCAGACTTGGCTCTCTCCCAAGGGGCATCATATGAGGAAAAGGCTGATTCCAGCTCTGTCAGAACCTGTGCACTGTGCAGTCAGGCATGTCTGCTGCTTTACCAGCCTGGGGAACCCAGAACAATGTCTTATTTATGCGGAGTCTCCCTTCACTCGCCCTTCAGATGGGCATGATTTAGCAGCTCACAGGAGTGGCTGTGAGGTTCTCAGGAGAGGAGTTTTGCCAAGTTCTGACAGCTCAGGGCTCAGCACAGGGGCTCTCTGCTCCCAAGCCTCAGTCATGGTTCCCTGCTTAGTCCCCAGGCTCACCCACCTCCAGATAATCCTCCATGGTCAGGTGCATCATCAGCAGTTCACTGAGAAATGTTCGAAGGTAGGGGACAACACCCTGTGCCATTGTGGTAGGGGTGGGATGAGGCCCTGCTCTCAGGAGCCCCCACAGCCTTTCACAGAAAACTCCTCACCCTCAGCCTCCTGGCCCACCCCAGGGTTCCCACATGGAGCAGACTATGTCCCTCAGCAGCCTCCTCCCAATTCCCCCTCTCCTCACCCTCCAAGACCACCAGACTCCTAATCACTTCCCAGGACCTGACTTTGGCCAATCACAGGGTGTGTGGTCCCAGGCCCCTCCCTACCCCCAAATCCATCCTGCACCCAGCTTTACACACCATCTTCCTGGTCACTTCTAAGGAAGGATTTCAGGCACTGCGACAAGAGGAGTCAGGGCTGGAGTAAGAAGGGCCTTCCTCTCTTGATTTGGAGGCCTCCTGCTGGGAGGGGGAGCCCCTGCTCTCACCCTGGAGCCCCTGCCCCACAGGCACACTTACTTTCTGCTGCTGCTGCTGCCTCTCCTGGGTTTTCTGGGTGTTGATCTCCGGGGTGACAAACTTGGAGGGTGCCTCCTGCCAGGGTTGCGGACAGTGAGGCCACACCACTCCCCTCGCTCAAAGTCTCTTCAGCACTACTACGGGTTTTGGCCACCGGACGTCTGACCTGAGTCATCTGGTACCAGTGCTCTTCTGTCTTCCCAGTGTGTTCTGATTCTGGATCAATCCTAGCTCCAACACTCACTCTGTGTGTGGCCCAGGGACTGTGGCCTGGCCTCCCTAGGCCTGCTTCCTCATCTGAAAAGGGTGAGAACTCCACCCCCCGCACAGGGTCTCCTGAGGACCCAGTGCCATACTTCTATCATCACTGTTCCTGCCCTCGCACATCCAGATGGAGCAGGAAAGATCCACACATTCCTTTCCTCCCTCGGACCTCATCACCACTTGCTGAGGCCTGCACCACAGAATCATCATCTCCCCATTTCCCAGATGAGGCCCGAGAGGGGCAATAAGTTTTTCAGGGGCTCACACATTGAGAGGTCACTGTTCCCTTTTAGCCAGAGACCCTGCCTCAGCGGCTCTCACTCAGTCTGAGACCACCACTGACCACAAATCCTTCCCTCTGGGCTCTTGAGGAAAGTCCAGGCCCCTACCTGGACCAAGCCACAGATGGAGAGGGATGGGGTGTTCTCAAAGTCTGGATAAGCAGCTCCTGCCAGCCTTAGCCGATCTGGAGTCTCTGCATCCAGACCAAAACCAAGGCAAAGCCAAAGATTTCACCTCCCCCAAGCAACAACTCCTCAGGGCATTCCTCAACTCAGCAGTCTTTCTTCATTCACTCAGGAAGGCAACCCTGAAAGCGCTACCTCTGACTGACAGAGAAGAGGATGACAGGACACTTTGTTTCCCCATTTACATGAAGCTTCTGATGAAGGAAGGACCCACTACCCACTGCGAAACTACCATTTCCCCCAGGCCCTCCTCATTAGCCACTGAGGGCATATGTCATTCTCAACTGGACACTCAGGTGAAGACTAGCCAGTGAGTGAATAGCAGTGGCTGCCATAGGGGCACGGTGTGGAGTCACAGAAGGCACACACATCTGTCTCTGGCCCAGCCATTTGGACCCAAGCCTGGGAAGCCTTTTTGTCCACCTGGTCCATGGGAATCCCCCGGGACATGCCCTCCCCTTGGAGGTGTTGCAAAAACAGAAGTAAAAGCACAGTCCTGGCTTTCTGAGAGCACGGTGGGCTGGTCTCGGAAAGAGAGGACTCCCTAACCATCCCATCCCCTCATTAGTGCCAGCAGGATGGGCCCTCACGGAAGCAGGAGACTGGCTAACGTTGCCAGCTGGACAGCCCAGCCAACACCACTATACCCTATGACCAGAGACTCCTGTACTTCAAACTGGACCCCCCGCCCCCACTTGCCCATAGGCCACACAGGTCCCTCTTCCTGTTAGTCCAGAACATCTAAATCATTACGTGAGAAACTAACAAAACCACATCCTGCCCAGTCCCCCTTCCCTCTCAGTCCTCCTCTCTTTCCAGACCCCCAGCCTCCACTCTACCTTGGTCATCAGTTCCCTGCTGAGTGACTTGTCTTGGCTTTGGAGCTTCTTAAATTTTTTGTAGCTCTTCCTGAGAAGAGACAAAAGAAAAAAGAGAAATTTAGGAATAACGTGGGGATTTGAGTGCAAGTCCCTTTTATTTCAGAACCAAAAGCTTCATCTGAGTGAGTATTTTCGCTGGGTTCCTTTGTGCACTAAGGTCTCCTTGTGACTGGGGAGGGGGGCTTTCATGGTGGTCACCTGAGGCCTCTATTCACATTTGTATTAAGCTTCTCTGTGTTGCCTAGTTTTGGTTTTCTCTGGGCATATGGTTCAGTTGCTGTAAACACTTGAAAGTCTCCAACTTAAATCAACCCAGTATCTGACATATAAAGAAACGGATTCCTGAAGCCGAACTGGTGGACTGAGGACCCAGAGAGGCTAAAGACCCCAACATCAGCCCAGTCTCTGTCCTCAGGGTTTGCGGCCTCCCAGGAGTTCCCAGCTGACTGATGGAGCAACGACAGACGTATGAGAGATCCCTAATCCATCCTGGTCCAATCTGTGGAGAGAGGCCTATCTACCTGGAAACCTTCCGCCATGTCTTCTTCAGACGGCAAATTGAGGCGTTCTGCAGAGCAGAGAGGATGGCATGCAAAGAGGAGTAGTTCTTCAGAATTTGGCACTCCTGGGGAGGAAAGAGGATGAGCTGTGAGGTGGGGAGCTAGAGCCCTATTTGCTCTAGCTTCAACCCCCTCAGTTTAAAACTCCCCTCTCCTCCCCTCCCAGATGAGATGGAGCCCTGGAAGTGCACATTTAGGGCCAGAAGAGTAACACTCACAGGGAGGAGGATTTTTTTTGGCGGGGGGGGGGGGGGGACTGTTTATTGTTATGTTAATCACCATACATCACATCATTAGTTTTTGATGTACTGTTCCATAATTCATTGTTTGGGCATAACACCCAGGGCTCCATGCAGAACGTGGCCTCTTTAATACCCATCACCGGGCTAACCCATCCTCCCAGCCCCCTCCCCTCTAGAACCCTCAGTTTGTTTTTCAGAGTCCATCATCTCTCATGGTTCGTCTCCCCCTCCGATGTCCCCCCCCCTTCATTCTTCCCCTCCTACTATTGTCTTCTTCTTCTTCTTCTTTTTCTTAACATACATTGCATTATTTGTTTCAGAGGTACAGATCTGTGATTCAACAGCCTTGCACAATTCACAGCGCTCACCATAGCACATACCCTCCCCAATGTCTATCACCCAGCCACCCCATCTCTCCCACCCCACCCCCCACTCCAGCAACCCTCAGTTTGTTTCCTGAGATTAAGAATTCCTCATATCAGTGAGGTCATATGACACATGTCTTTCTCTGATTGACTTATTTCGCTCAGCGTAACACTCTCCAGTTCCCTCCACGTCGTTGCAAATGGCAAGATCTCATTCCTTTTGATGGCTGCATAATATCCCATTGTATATATATACCACATCTTCTTTATCCATTCATTGGTCGATGGACATCTTGGCTCTTTCCACAGTTTGGCTATTATGGACATTGCTGCCATAAACATCGGGGTGCAAGTACCCCTTCGGATCCCTACATTTGTACCTTTGGGGTAAATGCCCAGTAGTGCAATTGCTGGATCGTATGGTAGCTCTGTTTTCAACTTTTTGAGGAACCTCCTTACTGTTTTTTCTAGAGTGGTTGCACCAACTTGCATTCCCACCAACAGTGTAGGAGGGTTCCCCTTTCAGGGAGGAGGATTTTGTTTAATTCAAAGAAGAAGCCAAGTAGGAAGGCCACCACCAGGACATGTGAGTCAAAGTCAGTGTGCCTCTGGCAAGAAAGGCCTACGGACTCTGGAGGGGCTCAGACCATAGAACTGAGAAGGTGAAGAGGCAGTTCCCCAGGATCCAGAGTGGGACTCCACTGGAACTCCCCCAGCATACCTGGGCCACATGGATCCAGTGCTCCACTACCCTGGCCCTGTGCTGGGCAGTCATGCTCGGGTCCCCAAGGCAGGTGGTGAGGACACAGCTGGTCACACTTTGGAAATGCGTGATGGTGGCACGGACTGTGGGTGCCAGGTGCTCATTGCCAGGCTTGTTCCTCTTGGACCAGGTGGAGCCCAGGCAATGACTGGGCACCACCTTCTTGAATAGCTCCTGGGGACCAAGGAGAGTGTCACCTGGCACTGCCACAGCCCAGCTCAGTGTCCACAGTCCCCCACAGGCCCAGGCAGGAGTCACTGGTCAGACCTGGAGCTCAGGAAGCTGAGGAAATGTCTGAGCCTTGTGGAGGTCCCCAGGATTTGTTCTCTGTCTACTGAGGGCATACAGCATGGGATGACTCAGGACCCAATACTGGTGGGGAAGGAAGGATTCATTTGCCTCCAGTCCATCCTCACTAACTCTAAGATTCCAGAAGGTGGCTCAAGTTGGTTCTTCCCAAGAGGGCATCTTTCACCCATCCTGATCACCCTCTGCTCTTTCTACTGAGATGCGTATTCTCCTGTGACAGCTACAACCATGGCCTTGTTTGTCCTCCTTCGAATTAAGTACACATCAGGTGCCTAATAAGTGCTGAGGCTGCTGGGCCTCCTGGGCAGATGGGTGCCAACCCATGGACCTGGCTGCACACAGTGAGTGTTCCTTCCCCACCAACTGGGCTGGGCCCTACCCAGCTTTCTATCTGTTCTACCTCATTTAATCTGCACAGTCAATATCTTTGCAGCAGGTGCTATTGGTGTCCATCTCTACTGACTATGGTGGATAGCAAAGGCTCAGAGGCTAAGAAAGTTACCCAAGTCACACAAATGGCAAGTGGTGGGACTGGGATTTGGACCCACGTCATAAGAGTCCAGATCAGGAAAAGGCAGGTCTGGGGCAACTGATGGCAGAGGGAATCCCTTCCCCCACCCCCCGACAAGAAACCAGCTGCTCACCGCATCTACTATTGTTAATTGTTCTGCCACCAGCTGGGGAGGGAAGGCCATGAGCTCACGCTTCTCCTCAGCTGGACTGTTCTCACTGGTCACATGCCAGGGGCATGAGGCCTCTGAGGCTGGAGCTGGCTCTGTATCTACTTTCAGAGGTGGAAAGCAAATTCTGAATATAGCTGAACATCCAGCTGACTCCGGCTCAGGGCTTGGCATTTGTGCCAGAGCTGATGTTTGCTCTTGCTCCAATACTGGAGCCGTTGATGGTGGCTCCATCACTAAAGGCGGTAGTAAAAATGGAGCTGGAACACGCTCTAAATCCAGAGTTGGCCTTTGTTCTGACTTTGCAGCAGGCTGGGGCTCTGGAGCTGGCACTGAAGAGGATAAAGAGAAGAGTTCCACAATGTAACGGAGTTTCCATGTGTCTTTCCAAAAACAGGAAGGATCCTACTGCCTTTAAGGGAATACCCAGCACATGAAGCCCACCCTAGATATTTTCCCAGACTGAAGTCCCCCTTACCCTCTTTTTCTGCCTCAGTGGGCCCTAGATGTTCCAAATGGACCATGGACAGTGGGTCACAGCACTTCAGGTCTAAGCCAGGCAAGCTGGCGTGTATGTATGCCACCATCAGTTTTAACCAAGGATGGTGCAGGGTCTGCCAGTCCTCCTGTAAGTATTGATCTGCCCAGCTGTGCAGCATGGGCGAGAGGGCCCTGGGGGAAGTCATGTGTGGAACAGAGTCAGAGGCCCGTCCTTTTTTTCCACACCATGCTTCCACATCCCCCTCCTTGTGTCCGGGCACCAAAGGATGGCCCCACCTCACCCCCAAACACTCTGTGGCCATGTTTTGCAATGGAAGGCATGGTCAGGGGCACATCTAAAGAGAGCCTTGTGAGGCCCATCCTTCCACTGACACTTGTCTCCCAAAGGGCCTGGGCATGGCCTACCCCATCTTCCATGCACATGAGCATTAGGACTGAGGTTTATGGCATATTTGTGAGCAGGCTGCTTACCACACCGATTATTCTGGGCCCCAGGGGTAGTGGTCAAGAGAGATGGATATGGACAGGGCAGGGAGCAGAAGATCGGACTGGAAACGATGAATCGCTCAGGGTCTGACTCAGCTTAGCCTCCCCTCTGCCTCCCAAGGCCTTAGGACCCCATCCACAGCTCTCTGACTCATTTTCTCAGGCGGTGGAAGCCCTCAGACCTCAGCCCTCCATGGGAATCAAACATGTGTGAGATGAGGGTACTACCAGTCCCTCCCCAGGGACTCCCTTACTATCCCATTCTGCTTCTAGGCCCAAGGACTACTCACCTTTTCAGTGGTTCTTCTGTTCCTTCCTCCACGTCTGAACATGGGAAGGAGCGTCTGTATCTACAGGAGGTCATGATGGCATCACATCTAATGTACTGGGAACACAACGGCTTATGACATCTAGTGTGACTCTCTGATTCTCAGACTAGAATTGAGGCCCAAGGATTGAGTCTGCTTCAGCCGTTGCATTATCTTAGTGTCTACAAAATGTCTGCATGTGTTTAATATGTATTGTTGAATGCATGAATCTCAACCAGAACCTTCCCACACATCTGAGTGGGACTGGAGCTCCTCTTCCTGCCCTCAGAGAGACCTCATCTGGCTACACCAAAGACAAGGACCAGGAATAGCTGGATGGAATCTCAAAATTTCTTTGCAGTTGGGAAACTGGGTTGCTTTCCATGTGCTTTCCAAGCTCACAGAAACCACAGGCCAGGGAAGGGCAAGGCAGAGAACTCTTCCACTAGGGACAGAGAAATAACAAACATGAAGATGCCCAGCATGTCCAGCAGTCCTATCTGCAGAGCAACGTACCAGGTAAGCACCTACCATGGGCTTATTATCCCATGATTGCCTACAATAACTCTGTCATGTTTATTCTTTTCCCACCCTACTTCTCAGAAGAGCAAAGTGCAGTGCAGAGAGGTATGTTGACATTCCCCAGACACACAGTTAGTAGGCAGGAGACTCACCATAATGCTATGGAGGGAGCAGGCACTCACCTTTTAAAAAAATGGCCCAGGATCTGTTGGGAGCTGGTGAAGGCCTGGTAGGGGTCCAGGAATGTGGTGATGTAGGAGATGTTTTCACTTGGGTATGCTGGTACCAGGGACTCTAACATTTGAATTGTGCCTTCCTGGAGCGTCCGCATTGTGCAGGCCTCATCCAGGCACAGTGTGGACTCCTTTTCACACTTGGTGGACAAGAGGAACATATAATCAGCAGCATCACCATGAGCCACCAGGAACATCAGGGTCTGGAGCTCAGGCTGGAAAGTCCCACCACCTCATGAACTAGTGCAAGAAGAGGGACCTGAGTGCCTATACCATAAAATGTTCTAGGCTTTAAAAGTGCATTTTGCATATGATCTCACTCATATGTGGAATTTCAGAAAGAAAACAGGTGAACATATGGGAAGGGGGGGTGAAAGGAGAGAGGGAAACAAACCATAAAAGACTCTTAACGATAGAGAACAAACTGAGGGTTGATGGAGGGAGGTGGGTGGGGGGCATGGGCTAGATGGGTGATGGATATTAAGGAGGGCACTTGTTGTGATGAGCACTGGGTGTTGTATGGAAGTGATGAACCACCGAATTCCACTCCAGAAACCAATATTGCACTGTATGTTAACTAAATACAATTTAAATTAAAAAAGGAAAGTTTTTAAATAAAATAAATAAATAAAAGTACATTTTTATTTGGGGGAATGATAAATAATTGATACCTCCAAGGCATTTTGTTAGCTGAAAACCATAGCACCTCTCTGTATTAACATCCCATATTAAGAGGATTATCCCAGTGAGTCATCAACAAACTTGCCCACTGTAGATACTGGGAAAGAGAGGATTAGGGATTTCATATGGTTGCTCAAGATCATGCACATCAGAACGGAGAACCATTTAAAGATAGGCTGCATGACATTCCCACTAAATTACCTGAGGCTTGGTCAGCTCCTGACAGCGACAGGAAGGATATGGAGTAGCCACATTCCTGGAATGGTCTCGGGTAGTTGCCAGATATGAGTCCGGGTTCTGGGCCCACCCCAGTCCCGGCTGTGGTAACCTGTAACCTCCTCTGTGCCTACACTTACCCAAGACCAATGTCGGCCCTTCTTGGTGTCCCGGTGCATCTGCCCCTTGTCTAGGGAGATGGAGTAGTTGAACCCATCAGCCAGCTCCTCGATGATCTCCTGGTTTGAGTTCTGCAAAGACAGTGCCTAATAGCTTGGCCAGGAGGAATAAAGGACACGTCTGGACATTGCCACTGGGGGATACTCTCAAGAGAAAATCTGTTCCACCCTTGGGGCAGAGTAGGGCATCTGCAAAGAACTCTACCCAGAGAGGAAACAAGATAAAACCTGTAGCGCTCAGGATTAACATGGGTAGAAGAACTCACCTTCTCATGCACCAGCCGTGACCGAGGTATAAACACGAAAGACCCACCAGGCTTCCAACACCTAACAATCAGCTTCTGCCCAGGAAGGACTCAACCCTGAGTCCTGCCTCCTCTGTCCCCAACACAGACACACAGACACACACACACAAAGACACACACACACGATGAGGGACGAGAGGTGCGGCGCTGCTCAGGTGGAATCACAATTTTGTCCCAGCCTGAATTGGCCTGCCTTGGGCTCCTTTGTGTTACCTTTCGGTGCCTTCTCCAAAATGACCGGATGCGTCGGGACTGATGGCTGAGCCAGTGTCTACAGCGACTAAAAAGATTCTCACTCTGAGCTTTCTTGAGCCCAGATCTTCTGCTACCAGAGAAACAACATTGAAACATCTTGCTCTCCTGACTGTCTCCAGTCAAGTGAGCTGGATAGGGGCTATCTCTAGAATGTAGGTCCTTGGTTACCACAGTTCTAAGTTCTGTTGAGGTCTATGACCACAAAGAAGTGAGGTCACTTTTTGAAGATTCTGTTACCCGGGCCCCTCCTTTCAATCAGACTTATCCAAAGTGCCCTATGGGCTGTTCACTGCTCCTCCTCTTCCCCCATGCCAACTGCTTAACCACACAAAATTAGTCAAAACATCCCTCTTCACACATCCCTGAAAATGTAATGAAGATCCTAGCTTTGAGAAGACAGAGCTGAATCTGGGCCTCCTTTTTCTTACCTATTCTTTGCCCTGGGAAAATCACTGTGCCTCTCAGGTCTTCCCCAGTCTCCAAACCTTCACAAAGGGGATGAGGCTAGAACCTACTTCCTAGGGACCTCAACAGTTGTATCTGAGATAATATCTCTTACACCTGGGGGATGGTGTCATATGTATCTATGACACAATTTAGTGATTGAAGAATTACAAGAAGGGGTTGGAACACCACTCAAAGCAGACCTGGGTTCCAGCAGTATAGTATTGAAAAAGTCACTTCCAACTTTGCCTCATTTTCAGGTCAGAGCCACGGGCGGGGGGGGGGGGGGGAGATGAAATTAATGTAAATTCAGATATTGTTATCCTCTGGCGTAAAATTGTTCCATTGTCTCCTGTTATATTTAGAATAAGACCCGGGGCGCCTGGGTGGCTCAGTCGTTAAGCGTCTGCCTTCGGCTCAGGTCATGATCCCAGGGTCCTGGGATCGAGCCCCGCATCGGGCTCCCTGCCCCGCGGGAAGCCTGCTTCTCCCTCTCCCACTCCCCCTGCTTGTGTTCCCTCTCTCGCTGTGTCTCTCTCCGTAAAATAAATAAAAAATGTTAAAAAAAAAAAAAAAAAAGGATAAGACCCATGATCGTCATCACAGCTTATGGGGTGGACTGCCTCCACAATGGCTTTCAGTGATCCCCACCCCTGGTATACACATCCCGGTGTAACCACTAAGCATTTAGAAACTGGGCTTTGACCAACAGAATATGGCCAACGTGATGGGATGTCTAAATTTGAGACAAAATGCCAAAAACACTCTCTTTCCTCTCACTCCATCGCTTGTGTTTCCTCTCTCTGGCACGCGCTCTCTCTCTCCCTCTCTCTCTGACTTGCTCTCTTTGTCATATCCCCAGGCAATCAGGCCCTGATGCTTTGAGCTGCCCCGTTAGAGGCTCACATAGAAGAGAAACAAGGGAGTGCCCAAGCTGACAGATGGGAAAGAACTCAGTCTCTCTGTTGAAACTGCATTGTGAGTTCTGTGAGTGAACTTGGGAGCAAATCCTCCACAGTCCAGCCTTAGATGAGGCTACAGCCCCAACCTTGTGATACATCCTGAGGCAGAGACACAGGGGGTGTCATGCCTGGACAGCTGGTCCACACAAATGGTGAGATATTAAATATTTGTAGCTTTAAAATGCAAGGTATTGGGGCAAGGTAGTCAGAGAGGAAATGGTAACTAACACAGTCCACGAGGCCCCAGAATCTGGCCCTGCCCACATTGCCCACCCCCTCTCTCCTCCAAGGCTCCCTCCAGCCACACTGGCCACTTTTCTAACCTTTTCTGATCAAACCCACTTTTGCCTGTGAGTCTCTGTCTCAGTGGTGCCTTCTCCCTGACACACGGCGCCAAGACTTGTGCAGAGCGGCTTCCTCTTGTCATTTGGGTATCGGCAATGTCACCCCAGTGAGGCCTTTCAGACCCTGCACAGTCCTCCCTCACAGCATCCCACTTTGTTTTCACCACAACACTTGCTCTTTCTTTTTTCACATCTACGTTTTGGTGCTTTTGTCTATCTCCCCCCGAGACTGTGAACTCCTGGCAGGCAGGGACCACTGCCCACCAGCGCTCCTTAGCAAAGCATGAGTGCTTGGTGCATAGTTGCTGAAGGAATAAACGGGAAGATCTTGTACCCCTCCTCGTGTTTTTGAGCACTCAGATAGTGGAGATGAATGCTAGTAATAGGAGATGCAAGTTGTTTCTGGGGCAGGGGGACAGCGAAAAAGACCTCTGTATGACTCTTGGATGCTCCAGTAGCTCAAGAAATGTATAGTTGGTACTGTGTAAGTTTAAGGTGTACAGCATAATTACTGGTCACACATGTATTGTGTAATGATTACCACATTAAGTTCAGTTAACATCCCCACCAAAAAATTATGTATTTCCTTGTCATGAGAAGTCTTAGGATTTATTCTCTTAGCGCCACTCAAGTATACTACACGGCAGTGTTAATTTATACAGTGCTTTTTTTTTTTTTTAAAGATTTTATTTATTTATTTGAGAGAGAGAGAGAATGAGAGACAGAGAGCATGAGAGGGAGGAGGGTCAGAGGGAGAAGCAGACTCCCTGCCGAGCAGGGAGCCCGATGTGGGACTCGATCCCGGGACTCCAGGATCATGACCTGAGCCGAAGGCAGTCGTTTAACCAACTGAGCCACCCAGGCGCCAATTTATACAGTGCTTTATGTCAACTATCTCAATAAAACTGAAAACAGAAAAAACAAAACCTCAGTGGGCACCACTGACACAGGAGGCTACCTTCTTCCTGGAGGCCAGCAGCTGTACGGCACCCCAGCCAGGAACACTAGCAAACAAGACAGGAACCTTTATTTGAGTTTCTGCATGATAGAGGCTCTCCAGAGTCCCAGGGGTAAAGGAGAAGGACCTGCAGGCTTCCAGGGCTGTAGGAGGGGCTTTGAGAGACCCTCATGCTCCCCTATTTCTATCCCCCCTGCCCAACAAGTGTCCTCTTAACTCATGAGGCATCCTTTTCTCCCAATTTTTATTTAAGTTCTAGTTAGTTAACACATGGTGTAACATTGTTTTCAGGAGTAGATTTTAGTGATTCAACACTTATATTTAACCCCCAGTGCTCAACATGACATGTGCCCTCCTTAATGCCCACCACCCATCTAGCCCATCCCCCACCGACCTCCCTCCATCAAACCTCAGTCTGTTCTCTATCGTAAAGAGTTTCTTACGGGTTAGCCCAGTGATGGCTGTTAAGGAGGGCTCGTATTGCATGGAGCACTGGGTGTGGTGAGCAAATGAAGAGTCATCGAGCATTACATGAAGAACTAATGAAGTACTGTGTGGTGGCTAACATAACGTAATAAAATAAAATAATAAAATAAAATTCTTCTTTAGTTTTTATTTTATATATACGTTATATATATAACATATATGTATTCTCTTTTGTTTCCTTGCATTGTATTTTATTTTAACTTTGTATGTTTATGATATATATATTTTTTTTCTTTACTATTTTGGGATCTAGGTTCTTTTTTTTAAAGCTTTTATTTAAAAAATATATATATTTTATTTATTTGTCAGAGAGAGAGAGCACAAGCAGGCAGAGGGAGTAGCAGGTTTCATGCTGTACCGGGAGCCCAAGGCGGGACTCAATGCCAATACCCGGGCATCATGACCTGAGCTGAAGGCAGACACTTAACCTACTGAGCCACTCAGATGTCCCAGGATCTGGGTTCTTTTAAGAAACAAGCCAAAATATACCCAGGGTCTAGTTTATTGTTTTGTTCTGTTTTACTCTTTGTTTGATTTTTTTTTTCTTATTTTGTTTTGTTTCCATTTTCTTCTAGTTTGTTTTGTCTGTATTTTTCTGTTGTTGTTGTTGTTCTTTTTGTCTTTTCTCTGTCTATCATCTATTCTTTTCTGGACATAATGATGAGCCAGAGAAGCTCCTCCAAAAAGAAAAAAACAGGAGGCAGTACTCACTGCCAAGGATTTAATCAATATGGATATAAGGAGGAGGTCAGAACTAGAATTCAAAACAATGATTATAAAGATACTAACTAGACTTGAAAAAAACAAAGGCGGTAGAGAATCTCTTACTGTAGGAATAAAAGAATGAAAATCTAATCAGGCTGAAATTACAAATGTTATTACTGAGATGCAGTAGAAAATGGAGGCTCAAACTGTGGAAAGAGCCAAGATGTCCATCGACAGATGAATGGATAAAGAAGATGCGGTATATATACACAAAGGAATATTATGCAGCCATCAAAAGGAATAAGATCTTGCCATTTGCAACGACGTGGATGGAACTGGAGGATATTATGCTGAGCGAAATAAGTCAAACAGAGAAAGATGTGTATCATATGACCTCACCGCTATGAGGAATTCTTAATCTCAGGAAACAAACTGAGGGTTGCCAGAGTGCGGGGTGGTGTGGGAGGGATGTGGTGCCTGGGTGATAGACACTGGGGAGGGTATGTGCTCTGGTAAGCGCTGTGAATTGTGCAAGACTGTTGAACCTCAGATCTGTACCTCTGAAACAAAGAATGCAATATATGTTAAGAAAAAAAAAAAAAAGAAGAGGAAG